GCCAGTGAAGCAACGTCCTCCACAACTAGACTGAAGAACAAAAAGGACAGCAACTTATCTGTTCCCCTTCCCCCAATTCCCCAGCGCTGTTCCGATCCCCCAACTCCCCAATAAAAATCTAAAAAAAACCCCAAAGATCAATCGATATACTGCCTGTTTTGTTCGATAACATTTTGTCATCTTTCAGTGAGCTTCATAATTCCTCGTTCACAGAAGGACCTGTCTCTATTTGCGAAAAACTGAACAAGGTGCTGATTAACAGCCTCAACAGAATTGAACGTTATACCATGCAGGGAGTTTTGAAGAGAGTGAAACAAGTGGAAGTCTGACGGTGCAAGATCAGGCGAGTATGGTGGGTGTGGCAACACATCCCAATAATTTCTGACGGGTGATCAAACTTGTGTGTGGTCTCACGTTGTCACGATGGAATACACTCCTTTACAATGAACAAGCTCTGGACGTTTCTGGATGATGGATTCATTCAAACTGTTCAATTGCTGACAGTACACATTCGAATTGGTTGTTTGGTTCCTTGGTAAGAGCTCGAAAAACATGACACCTTTAAAATCCTACTACACTGACAGCATAACCTTCCTCTGATGAATGTCTGCTTTCGATGTCGTTTGAGGCAAATCATCATGTCGGGACCAAGGCCGTTTGTGCACCACATTGTTGTAAACAGTCCACTTCTCATCACCAGTTATCAGTTGCTTCAAAAAAGGATTGTTTCCCTCACGTTTAACGAGCATATTGCAGTTTATAGGCGCCATCAAATGAACTTCTTTGAGTTGATGTGGAACCCAAATATCGAGCTTGCTTATGTATCCCAGCTTCTTCAGGTGGTTGTGAATGCTTGAATGATGGATGTTCAATGTTCCTGCAATCTCTTGTGTCATGTGACATGACTCAATCAATGCTTTTATTTTTGTTGTCATCAACCTAAGTGGGCCCCCCTTACCGAGGAGCATCATTGAGATCAAAATCACCAGCACGGAATTTTGTGAACCATCATTGGCACTGACATTCTTGTAGAGCATTGTCACCGTAAACTTTATGCAACTTTTCACAAGCTTGATGCGCGTTCTTCCCTTTATGGAAGTAAAACAGTAAAATACGGCAAAAATGCACAGTTTGGTCTTCCATCTTCAACTTATTGTAAAATACCCTTAACTCAACCAAATCACTCAATTTTTTTACAATGAAACTAGAACTGTCAGCTGTCAAATGATATAGCAATAACATAGATGTGAATGACTCTAGTATTTCCAAAAATGAACCAATGCCATCTGTTGCAAACATGCGTCATGGCTTTTCTGACAACCCAATATAAGCAAGACATTATAAGATGAAATAACACACTGATAAAAATATCTTTGGGTAAATGTTAGAAATATATCTAATAAATTTTGTAAATCCAAAAGCAAGGTCTTCCTTCAAGAATTAAAAAAGTATGGGAAATGTGAGTTTGGTAGAGAAGATGAAAACAATGCTAAATAGACTAAAAGTCTAGATTTGATAATAATAGCATTTTATTTTTTTAAAAAAAGGGTTCTTTTTTGACTACAAGCTTCATATGTACCAATAAGCAGATGGGGTCGCTTATCTGATTTTTTAATTGTGTTAAAAAAAGCATGATTCCCAGGTTATTATAATCAGAGATTCTATTCTTTTCTGGTTGGACCAAATCTGGAAAAGTGTTCAATTCATGGGATCACATTTTAAAAGGAACACTGGAAAGAGTACACTGAAAGAAGAGAAAATGCTTTGAGGAGGTAACTAAAGGAAACAGAACTTCCTTCAAATATTTGAAAACAATTACATAAAATAAGAAAAGACTCATCCTATGTTCTTCTAGAAGGCAAAACTCACACCAGAATATAAATATCATAAGAGGAGCACTTCAACTTCAGAAAAAAAATAATTACAATTAAATGTACTATATTAGTGAGGTCCCCATCACTAAAGGATTTAGAGTTTGGAATTCCACAGAGGAGAGTCAGCAGGAAGGTTGTGCTGAATCAACTCTTTGATTCAATGTTCTATTCGCACCTAAATAGCTTCTGAGAGTAGCCTTCTATTAAATAATACAGGATGTGTTACTTGTAATGATGACCTCCATGCATAAATAAAACACTAAACTGTTATTAGCTAACATCATTGAAGGTAGCTGGAGCTGTGGACACTTCCTAGATGCTGCTTACTTGTTTTCTAGTCATTGACCATATTAATGTGGATTCAGACCTGGCTGGGTAGGTCTGGCTGACAGGTGGGACTTCCTATCCAGTGTTTATCAGAATGCAGGATTCAAAATAGAAAAGCCTAGGTCTGGCCGAGTGGCTCATTGGTTAAGAGTTGGCTTGGGAGCGCGAGCTTTGAGCAGCAGGGCCCCGGTTCAGATCCCACATGGGCCAGTGACGCTGTGCCCTCTACAGCTAAGATGGTGAACAACAGCTCGACCTGGAGCTGGGCTGCCGTGAGTTGCCGGCAACAGCGTAGGCTGCAGTGGGCTGCAGTGGGCTGCCGTAAGCTATCGTGAATGGCCAGCAGCCAGCATGAGCCACCGTGAGCGGCCGTTCAATGGCCGGCAAGTGACTGCCTCACCCGGGAAGAGCGCAATGATAATACCCACATGGGCCAGTGAAGCGACGTCCTCCACAAGTAGACTGAAGAACAAAAGGACAGCAACTTGTCTGTTCCCCTTCCCCGATTCCCCAATGCTGTTCCCTCCAATTCCCCAATAAAAGTCTTTTAAAAAAAAAAAGAAAGAAAAAAAAGAAAAGTCTATCCGAAATAAACTCATCTCCAGGAAGAGAGGGTCAGATATATCAGCAAGGCTTCCTAACAGTGTCTCAGTCATCAATTGGAGCAATGTTCTGAACAGTGCTTCTCACCTAGGTTTGTTTTCCAGCTTCCTGTGAATACATGAATGCCTTAGAGGGAAAGGGGATTGTGAATAAAACCTAAAAGAAATGTGTTGACTAAAATGTCTGTAAGACTTTGGAATGCAAGATCATACTGCTTTGGTGCCCATACGACATATGAGTACTATAACACAAAGAGACACGCTTTTTCTCTCTGCTCAGAACACAGACTGGCTTGGCTCCAAGAACACAGTGCCACTGTTTTGTGTACAGGGAGGGTTTTAGTATGTGAATCCTGCCTATGGCGGCATTGGGACCCGGGGTGGGGAAGAGTGCAGAAGGAGACAAATAGGATGTATCCAATGGCCAAGGACGTACATTTATTTTTGCATGCTGTGGGGTTTCAGAAGCTAAAGAAAGAAGGTAAGGGCTTTGCCATTAGCATGCTGGGATATGTCTTGGTGATTTCTATAATAAAAGGAGGAGAATTTGAGGGTAGAATCCCCCTCTGGCAAAGGTAGCCATTTCTACAGAGTAGCCAGTTCATTATTCTAAGCATGACCTGTCTGTAAATTAAACATGTCTATAAAGGCTTTGACACTTCTTCCATGGAGAGGTAGGATCTAAATCCCCTCTCCTTGAATTTGGGCTGGACTTAGTGACTTGCCTGTATCCAATAAAATGCAGCAAAAGTGATGCTGTGTGACTCTGGAGGCTAGGTCATACAATGCAATACAGCTTTCACCTTGCTTACAGGAACGCTAGCTTCTGGAGCCCTCAGCCACCTTGCAAGAAGTCTGAATACCCTGAGGCACACACTCTGTGAGGAAGCTCAAGACACAGGAAGAGACTATGTTTAGGTATTCTCGCTGACTGCCCAGCTGAGGTCCCAGACAAGTGAGGAAATACGCCTCCAGATGATTCCAGTCCCAACCCACTGAGACACCCCCCAGGCACTGAGTCTTTCCAGGTGAGGTCCTAGACCTCATAGAGCAGAGATAAGCCATCTCTTCTATGCCTTGTCTGAATTCTGACTGACAGGGTAACTTTACATTTTGTAAAGGGCAAAACTACAATGTTTGATCCTCACAATGATACGATTAGATAGGTTGGACTGGCATGATTATTACCCTAGTTTTATAGATTAAAACAATAACAAAACAGGGATTTGAGCTTACCTGCTTTGAAATTATATAGGCAAGATGTGGCACGCTGACACGAAAATCCTGATCTTTGGACTCCAAAGTTTCTGCTTTCTTTATATTTTCCCATCTGGACACGGTGGGGCTTTAGAATGACCCAGGGAAATCAAATAAGATGTATCCAGAATTTGAAGACAAGGTCAGAAAAGGTTGAATAAATGGAAGCTAACAAGAATCAATTATTAAATGTGTGATATCAGCCATCCTGTGAAGACATAACCAGGTAAGATATGATGTACAGATTGTTGCTGTTAAGGAAGGCTATGATTTAAAATGCAACCAAAATACAATCTTAGGACTTTTAACATTATGTGGCAGTGTTTTAATGACGTAATATTTTCAAAGGCTGATTTTTAAAAATGACATACGAGTAGAACTGTTTGAGAATTTAAAAACCTGCCAATTGTGTTTCTGATGAAATCAAGGGGGAAGTGTGCCCTGGCTGGCTGATGGTATTTTAGCCTTATTAGAAGTATGTCCTTATAGTAAAGAGAGGACTACAGCTTGATGACATCATCTCTTATGATCATTTTCATTTACACCACTTTTGCCAAGTCAACTTTTGATTTAAATTTAGATCTTCAAGGAGACTTTCCTACTTGGAAGAGAAAGTACAATGACACTAACGAAGCATACCATGTTTGTTTGATAGGCTGTATTTTGTATTGTTCAATGTAGAGGGATATTAGCATTCTGATTAATTAAGCAGCCTCACACACAACTACTTACCTTGGAGTAAGGGTCAGCTCCGGGCTCATGGGCTCATGGTGACTATAAATATGCAGACACCCTACTTCCGAGGTCAGAAGGACAGCTTTCTGTCTCTTGAATCGTGGTGAATACAATAAAGAGGTCACCGGCAACTTCCCCCCTCATGGGAAGTACAAAAATGCGGAGTCCACTCAAAGCTTCTCATGACTTCATATTTAGGTTCCTTTGGTGATTCGCTTCCCACCATCAGGGGATCACAGTCACTTCCACTATGTTTCTCATTCCTATTTTGCCCTTCCTTAATTTTTCCCCCCAGAATATTCCCCTTTCCTTTTAAATAAACATATTTTTTAAATAATGAACTGGGTGTAACTCCATTCTGTAATTGGGTCTCTCAGAGGGTATTTTTCTTTCCTCTCTTGTTTTCATGCATATGTTGCACAAAGAATGCCTTGGAATATTGTGTGCGTGAAAGGCACAAAAGCATTGAAAATATTTTGAATGGTTTTCTTGGAACTAAGAATGATTTAAGTTTTGGTGCTTCAGGCATCTAGAACGTTCTGTGCCTTGCGCAGGCCCTTGCACATGGAAAAGCACTCCACTGACATTTGTTAAATGAATGAATCTGGAAAATGAAAAATACACTGAAAGGAAACGTTTTCTTCCTCAACGATGAAAAAAATAAAAAGCTTTTAGAGTTCCATTTAGACCCACTTTAACAGGCCAATTCCTTTAATGAAAAGGATACCAAGCATTATTCTGATGAATTGGCTGTTCCTAAATATATTTCTAGCAAATTCTACTTGGCTGTTTCAACCTTGGGGGTTCCAAGTCTTATTTTTATGACAGAGACGTTCGTTGTAATGGAAATCACACCAGCACGGGCTTCCCCGTCCTCCTCCCTCTAGGAGTTCAACGTCTCCCGAACCACCAGCCCTGCTCTTCTAGTAAAATCCTACGTTACAGCACAGGCTTCGGACGGAGACGAGAATCAAGGAGGAAACCGAAGCCATGGAAACGGGAGCGCGGAGGAAACCACCGAGCGCGAGGGCGGGCCGGAGGCGAAGGAACCCTCTCCGGAGGAGGGCGCGAGGGCGCTCCTCGGGTTACGTCACGCACCCGGGTGACGTCACGGCCGTGACACGCGGCTGACGCCGTTGCCGCGGCGACTTCTAGTGGTCTCCGCCCCCTTCCCCCGCCCCCAGCTCAGCGTCCTTCCCCCCCCTCCAATCCCCTCAGGCTCGGCTGCGCTGGGGGCCGCGGGACGGTTCCTGAGGTGGCCCAGGCGCCCTCCCGCC